ATATATATATACTTTTAAAGAGCAGCAATTGGAAACTATACCCACTGCATTGTTTTATGTTTTATTTTTTATTTTTCATTTTTAAAATATGTTTTTATTGATTTCAGAAAGAGAAAGGGGGAGGGAGGAAGAGAGAGAGAGAGAAATATCAATGATCAGAGAGTCATTGATCTGCTGCCTCCTGCACGCCCCCTACTGGGGATCAAGACCCCAACCGGGGCATATGCCCTGACCAGGAATCGAACCAGCGACATTGGTTCATAGGCTGATGCTCAACCACAGAGCAACACCAGCCAGGCTATTTATCATTTCTATGTATTGATTTTACATATGATAATTATCATCCATTACTTATCATTTTATACTCAATTACCTACATATTCCATCTATGTATCAGTTTACATGCGATACTATGTATCCTCCACGACTGATCCTTTTATACCCAATTACCTACATATTCCATCTATGTATCAGTTTACATGCGATACTATGTATCCTCCACGACTGATCCTTTTATACCCAATTACCTACATATTCCATCTATGTATCAGTTTACATGCGATACTATGTATCCTCCACGACTGATCCTTTTATACCCAATTACCTACATATTCCATCTATGTATCAGTTTACATGCGATACTATGTATCCTCCACGACTGATCCTTTTATACCCAATTACCTACATATTCCATCTATGTATCAGTTTACATGCGATACTATGTATCCTCCACGACTGATCCTTTTATACCCAATTACCTACATATTCCATCTATGTATCAGTTTACATACGATACTATGTATCCTCCACGACTGATCCTTTTATACCCAATTACCTACATATTCCAACTATGTATCAGTTTACATACGATACTATGTATCCTATCCTCCAACACCCATCGTTTCATACCCAGTGTTTCCCTAAACACACACCTGTTCAAATGAGTGGGAGCTCTTGCAGAGGGCAGGTGCGGGCACCCATGGCTGTCTGCTTGTGTCTTGCAGCGCTCCGATCCTCCCTTCATCCAGATGGTGAGTGACCCTGCCTTGCTGCCCGGGGCATCGCCAGGTGCAAGTCGGTTATTTTCACCACTCTCTCCCACGTGGGGCACCCACCCTCACAGCAGCGTCCATGTGGAGGAAAGAGGAACCCAGGTCCCTGAGATGAAGCTCGCAGCTGTTGCTGTTTGCCCACAGAGGTCACCCCCCCACACACATCCCGAAATTCTTTAGCCTGGGCCAGGCACTGAACTTGGTGGAAAAGTCACCAAACTGTGAGCTCTAACCAGCAAATGCATGTTTCCACACAGGTGGTCCATGCATTTCACAAGCATCCATTAACTTTGGCCTCTCTCTCTGTCTTCTTTCTCCCCTATTCTCTCTGTCTCCATCTCCCCGAGGCTTCTCCTCTGTGTCTGTGTCTCCTCTTCTGTCTCTTACAAGGACCCTGTCCTTGGATGTAGGGCCACCCTGACCCTCATCTCAGATCTTTCCCTTAATCCCATCTGCAAAGACCCTGTTTCCAAATAAGGTCCTGTTCATAAATTCCAATAGGCAAATCTTTCTTGGGGGGGCAGCATTCCACCCGGCAGGGCCCCCTGCACCACACCCTGCAATGGCACCACTGCTCTTGGACTCGGGGAGGTAGCCAAGGATTGTTTCCCTCCCAGGGACTATAAAGAACATTTAGCTTTGAGACTGGAAAGGGGCTCCATGGGTTCCCCCTGAGCACAGGTATCTCCCCAGTGTCCTAGCAGGGACTAGTCAGGTTCTCTCCAGAGACCTTAGTTTCCTAGAGCAGCCGTAGCAAATACCTCAAACCGGGTGTCTTAAAAAAACCAAAATTCATTGTCTCCCAGTCCTGGAGACCAGACATCTAAGATGAAGGTGTCTGCAGGGCTGGTTCCTTCAGGATGCTGCAGGGAAGGACCTTTTCCAGGTCTCTCTGTCTCCCCCAGCTTCTGGGGATTTCTTGGCTTGCAGTCACATCAATCCAATACCCAAGGGGCACCGCCCTGTGTGACTGTCTGTGTCCTAATTTCCCTTTTCTTTAAGGATTAGGGGCCCCTCTGCTCCAGCCAAGCTCCTCTTTTGTTTTAGTTTTTTTTTTCTATTTTACTTTACTTTTTAAAATATGTTTTTATTCATTTTTTTAAGAGAGAGAGATAGAAACATCAATGATGAGAGTCATTGATTGGCTGCTTCCTGCACGCCCCCTACTGGGGATGGAGCCCACAACCTGGGCATGTGCCCTGACCGGAAATCGAACCCTGACCTTCTGGTTCATAGGTTGATACTCAACCATTGAGCCACCCTGGCCGGGCTTTGTTATTTTATTTTTTAATTTATCTTTATTGTTGACAGTATTACAGATGTCCCCCTTATTCCCCCATTGACCCCTCCACCCTGCTCCTGGCCCTCCCCAGGCCTTCCCCACATTACTGTCTGTGTTGATGAGTTATGCATAAATGCATATAAGTTCTTTGGTTAATTTCTTCTCACCTCCCCTTTCCTCTGAGATTACTCAGTCTGTTCCATGCTTCTATGTCTCTGGATCTTTTTTGTTCGTCAGTTTACTTTATTCATTAGATTCCAGCCCAGCTCCTCTTAACCCATCAAATCGGCACGGCTGCTATCTCCAAACAAGGTCACCTTTGCAGGCCCTGGGAGAGGGGATTCCCACAAAAGAATTTGGGGAGGGCTTTCTCCACCCATGGCAGGGCTCCTGTGCTGCCCTCTCCGCTGATGGGAGTGGCCTTGTCTTCTTTTTGTTCCTCGAATCGATAGGCCCCGTTGAAAAACTCCTTCATGCTGACCAACCCTGGGACCTTCACAGTGAGAATCAGAGCCCTGACTATATTAAAATCACCTGGACAGTGGAGCACCCCCCAGCGTTTTGGTGAGTGGGGCGCCCTTTCTCTCTCCCTCCTGGGCGCTGACCTTCCTCAAGAAAGCTTGGAGCTCCCGGCTTGAAACCTCCTGGGATGTCTGCCCCCAAAGGAGAGGGGTGTCACTCCACCACCTTCTGCATCCCCAAAGAGGGCTCTGAGGACAACAGGGGATCTTGCTCCTTTAACTCACCCGATGGGAAGGCAGAGTGCAGAGATGTTCCCACTAAGAGACATCAGGGCAATGGAATAACACAGCTGTTACAAGCAATGGGGTCCTATTTCGCTATCCAAAGTCACTCTGGGTACGGCTCCAGGAAGTGCCTAATTAGAAAGATTCCTTCAGGACGAGAGCTGTGGTTTCTCCCTGAGCTGTTCTGAAACCAGCCCTGCCCTCCACCACTACTCCCCAGACTCCAGGAATGTCCAGTTCCGCAGATGGCACATCAGGAAATTCCACCCCCCATCATCAACTGATTAGTCCAGGCCCACCCACAGTATGTAGAGCAATCTGCTTTACCCATCCTCTACTGATTCCACTATTAATCTCATCTATTTTAATTATTTTATTTTATTTTTTGTTAACCCTCATGAGAGGATATTTTTTTCCATATATTTTTTTAGAGAGAGTGGAAGGGAGGGAGAAAGGGAAGGGAAGAGAGAGAGAAACATTGATGTAAGAGAGACACATTGATTGGTTGCCTCCCACATGCACCTCGACCGGGGCAGATGATTGAACCTGCAGCCCTTGACAGGGAATTGAACCAGTGACCCTCCAGTGCATGGGCCTGCACTCTAACCACTGAGCCACACAAGCAAGGGCTTAATCTCATCTTTAAAAAATACCTTCCCAGTGACATCTAGACGTTGTTTGACCAAAGACCTATGTACCGTGACCCAGCCCAGTTGGCACATAACATTCGCAATCATAAGCCCCGAGTTAGTTCGCTAGGGCTGTCAGGACAAAGTCCCATAGACTGGAACGTTTGAAAAAACAGACGTTTGTGGTCTCACAGTTCCAGAGGCTGGGTCTCCGAGATCAAGGTGTCGTTAGATTTGGGGACTGTGGGGACTTGGGGCTGTGGGGACAATAGGTTCCAGGCCCCTCTGCAGCTTCTGGGGGGCTCCTGGCCTTTTAAGCCACACCTGGGTTACCTGTAACCTGTGTGACTCTCAGTCCTAGTCCTTTCCTGGAGGTATTCTATCGCTGGGGATCCCTGCAAGCTTGGTTTGCAGATCCCAAACTCCCATCTATTCCTTACAGAGGGACATTACTGAGATATCCAAAGATGCAGGTCTGAGAGCCTTCTCCAGGTAGATCAGCACAGCCTGGGAGTGCTGGGCCAGGGGTGGGTGGAGACACAGGCCCCCTTTGCCTTCTCTCCACCCTCCCTTTGGGGCCTGCTTCCAGATTCCTGGCTTTGGCTCTGGTCTCACCCATGGGTTACAGATACCGTCAGACCAGGGTGCGTTTTATCAGGCTCCATGGACACCTGGGTGAGGCTCCTGCTGCCCCTGAGCCCGAGCTTTGGCCTCTGGCCCTTCTGGGCTGCGTTCCCTTGCTGGACTCAGTTTCCCTCCAGGTTCCCCTGTCTCTGGCCGCTGGGCTCTGCCGTCCTCTGCCCAAGCCGTTGCACAGGACCGCCTGTCCGCTAGGGGGCGAGGAGGTCGCCGTTGCCCAAAGTCTCAGTTACCAAGATAAATATCTTTTAATGCTGTCTTTAAAATTAAACTAAAAATTAATGAGAAAAACCCATGATGGACATAATATAAAATTCAAGGATTGAGGGAGGGGGCGCAGGAGGTGGTAGTTCCCCTGCAGCGCATACTCACCTGCCCTAGGCCACCCCAGGGCGCGGCCCCTCCCCCTGGGAGTGGCTGACTCTTCCACAGGCTGGCTGACGCCCCAGAGGCAGGTGCTGAGTCTTTGAAAATCTTGGCGCTGCCAGGGGTCCCTGAGTGCACGCGATGCGTGTAGTCGTAGCTCCAAGTGTTCCTTGCAGATGGGGGCATCGGGCTACCTTCGAGGGCCGCGCCCAGTTGGAAGGATTCCTGTGGGTCCCGGCGCACAGGTGGCCGTTGTTCCAACTGAATGAGCCCCCCCAAACCCCGCCCCGGGGCCCTGGGGAAATGCCCACGGCTGCGTGACACCGCCCTCCCTGACCCCGCCAGGGCCGGCCCGACGCCTCCCCTCTGCCTCCATCCCCTAGTGTGTGACTACGAGGAGAACGCGTTCCTCCAGATCTGGCTGACCTCGTCGCTGATCGCGTTGGCCACGCTGGTCACCGTGGGGACGGCCCTTCTCTTATGCAAAAGGTGAGTGGCGCGGGTCTGTTTTCCGGAGCGCGAGGCTCAATGCGCTCCCGCGCGCGCCTGGAGGCCTTGGTTGCCTGGGCGCGCGCCCCCGTGGTCCCCAGCGCAGCATCCTCGGAGCCCCTTCCCTCCCCAGACCCTGCAGTTGGAGACTGCAGCCAGGCTCACTCGCATGTCCCCTTATATCCCCAGTTTTGCTCCCCAGCCCCCAGTATCCTTCAGGACATGGCTCAGGGACCCTTCCTCTACCCCTCGGGCAGCAGGCCAGGGACAGCGTTACTACGGCCTGTTCCTTGTGATCGCAGCTCCCGTGGCTGGGTCCCTTCCATTTGGCTGATGCTCAGCCTAGTTAGGGGAGCCCTGCAAAAACTTCCCCCCT